TGACCCTGAGTTGAAGAAAATGTACTTGGAATTCATGGAAGAGTACCTCTCCTTAGGTCATATGTCTCCTACTGACAATACGATTCCTTCTACTCCACACTACGTAATCCCTCATCAGTGTGTTCTGAGGCCCCAAAGTACGTCTACCAAGCTCCGAGTCGTGTTCGATGCTTCGTCCAAGACGTCCTCACAGGTGGCCTTAAATGATATTCTGATGGTGGGACCTACCATTCAAGAGGAATTATACTCGACACTGCTCCGTTTCCGTCTGCACAGGTTTGCCCTGACTGCTGATGTTAAAAAGATGTATCGCCAAGTGATGGTGAACGAAGCGGATCGGCAGTTTCAGCTCATAGTGTGGAGAAGAGACCCATCTGAATCCTTGAGATTATACAAGCTCAACACTGTAACCTATGGGACTGGACCAGCCCCATTCTTAGCTATCCGGTGTTTGAAAAGGTTGAGTGAGTCTGCGAAGCTCTCATTCCCTAGAGCTGCTAACGTTATTGGGACCGACTTTTACGTCGATGACTTGTTGACTGGTGCTGCATGCGTAGAGGAGCTAAGGGCATTTAAGTCCGAAGTGTCTCAGGTTCTTCAGACCGCAGAGTTTGAGTTGACTAAGTGGTTTTCAAACTCACCCGAGATCACCGCATCTGAGAGCACAGCCAAACCCATAACAATCTCGGATTCAGAGTCGACAAAAGCGTTAGGAATCTCATGGTTACCTACTGACGATGCCTTTAAGTTCAAAATTGACAATTCAGTTATGGGTCTCCGAGCGACTCAAAGTTGTTTGACCCCCTTGGTTTATTAAGTCCTATCGTTATAAAAGGCAAGATCCTATTGCAGGAGCTTTGGCTTAACAAACTCGATTGGGATGAGTCGATTCCGCTGCATTTGGAAACAGCGTGGAATAAGTTGAAAAATACACTATCTCAATTGGAAGACATATCCATATCTCGGTTTGTGTATTCCGATCCGATGTCACCGGTTCAAATACATGCCTTTGCTGACGCCTCCATGAGAGCGTATGGAGCGTGCGTCTATATACGTAGCAGAACTGCAGAAGGTTTAAAAATATCATTGTTGACTTCGAAATCCAAAGTAGCGCCGCTCAAGACCAAAACGCTCCCAAGGCTTGATTTATGTGCCGCTCACCTTCTCGCAGATCTCTGTCACAGAATCAAGCCCCTATTAAACGTGCCCATTGAATGAGTCGTTTATAAGTCGGATTCAGAGGTAACTCTTCATTGGATCCGGTCTCATCTGTCGACTTTCGTTTCAAATAGAGTGGCTGAGATTCAAGAGTGGTCAGATGATGCTACGTGGCGGCATGCACCCACGAAACAGAACCCAGCAGATATTGTCTCAAGAGGTTGTGACGTCGACGAAATCGTTCAGTCAATTTTGGTTCGAAGGACCATCATTTCTGAAAGAGGAAGAAGAAAACTGGCTCAAGAACGCTCATTTTGAACACTCCGATGATCTTCAGCTGGAAAAGAGGAAGACTGCGGTCGGGCTGACCGCGGCTGTGCGAAGTTCGGAGCTGTTAGATGTCATCGAGGGATTCTCGTCACACCTCAAACTGCTTAGAGTGTTCGTGTATGTGTTCCGCTTTATAAGAAAATGTAAAGACCCAAGCCTAAATTTCGAAAAAACTATCTCACCGACCGAATACAATGAAGCCTTTTATAAAATTGTCGAAATCGTCCAGCATCACGAGTATCAAGGAGAAATCGAAAAGGTTAGGAAAAGATCTACAATTGGTCCTAGTCTTCAGCGGTTGAACCCATTCATCCATGAAGACACAGGGACTAGGTGCAACTTTTCGTTGTTGCGAGTGGGGGGGGGCGACTAGCCAAAGCTCCTATATCATACGATGCCAAGTTTCCTCTGCTTTTGACTAAGCGCTCGCAATTCGTGCGAAGCTATATTCGTCATCTGCACCATTCGAATTTTCATGTCGGTCTACGAGCACTTGTGAGCATCCTTCGACAGAGCGTGTGGATAGTGAACGCTCAGGAGGTCTGCCGTCAGACAGTTCGATCGTGTATGCGCTGTTTTAAATGCAAGCCTCGATTGCTGACGCAACTCATGGAGAATTTACCCGCAGATCGACTCCGTGCTCTCCGCCCATTTTCAATTTGCGGCGTTGATTTTTGTGGACCAGTGCACACGACATTGAAAATTCGCGGAAGGCCCCCATACAAGTCATACATTGCGTTTTTTGTTTGTTTTGCGTCCAAGGCGGTTCACCTAGAAATAGTTTCCGATCTAACCACTGACTGTTTTTTGTTGGCTTTCCAAAGGTTCGTCGGGCGCCGAGGATATCCCCAAGCCGTTCATTGCGACAACGGGACGAACTTCGTCGGAGCGAGCCGCCATCTCAGCGCTCTGCGGATCAGGTTCAAGGAGCAGGGAGACACAATTCGCGATTTCGCGTCAAAAAACGGATGCGAATTTGCGTTCATACCGCCGCGAGCTCCTCACATGGGAGGGCTATGGGAGGCAGGTGTAAAAACTGCCAAGAGCCTACTCCTACGGGCGGTAGGCAGCGCGCTCCTAACCACCGAAGAGCTAGCCACAGTCCTCGTCGGCATCGAGGCCATAATGAACTCGAGGCCGCTGGGAGCCATCAGCCAAGATCCAAGCGACGGCGAGGCCCTAACACCCGGGCACCTGCTGACAGGCGGGTCGCTCATCGCCCCCCCAGCACTGCGGACTCCGGACCAGGAGAGTCTCAGTGGCTTGCGGCGATGGCGACTTGTCACGTCAGTCAGGCAAGCGTTTTGGCAGCGATGGTCTCGCGAATATGTCCTGGGGCTGCAAATTCGGGGCAAATGGCACCAGCGGCAACCGATGCATAAACATAATGTGTATGGGATGTGGGGAATTATGGATATGTCACTCCCCCAACGTTTGTTATTAGCCTGTCCCTAGGCGATTACCCCCGGGTATAGTGACGGGGTGTCAAGTGCGGTGGCTGAGGTTGGTTCCTCTTCTGCTTCTATTATAGGGTTAATACATTTAACCGTGACTCTTTTAGAAGTTTTCTTAAATTTAACAGCTACATAACTTAGTAGTACTAATATAATTATGACAAATGAAATAAGTAGACTTATTTGTAATAGGTTACTATATTTGGTGTATTGCATAATTATTTCATTAGTTTGGACATACGTGGTTTTATTTTAGTTATGTTGTTGTTGACATAAACATTCTGGGCAAAATCTAACATTGTGTTTGATATTGTAAATTCATTTAATTGGATTGAACAGTTGTAGATTTTTATAATGGTATTTCCTTCCGCTATGATTTCTTGGTTTACACAATTCTGATTTAGCGTTGTTTTTGGAAGATTCCACGTGATTAGTATATTGGGTTCAATAAAGTTTATTTGTAAGTTTTGGAATATGGACATTTAGTGGGAGTTTGCATTAAAATTCCTTTTATACAATTGTCATTGGTTTTCAATCTAGTTTCTTTAACAAATACTTCTTCATTTTTTATGTAGTACTTGTCGTATGTCATATCTGTTAACATGCTATTTAATTCGTCTGGATACAGAACGATTTTATAGATTGGTACTTTTGTAATGTCTTTGGGAATGTTGGAAATTATTAGAATTTCGTTGGTATCGGATTTTAGCCATGTGGAGGTTTTTATATTTAGTATTTTCTCAGAATTTATTTGTTCTTGTCTTGTTTTAATAATTTTGGATTAAATATACCGAGCCTAGTTAATTGCATACCTAGTTCTATATCTTCGATATATTCTGTGAAATGTTGTAGATTGAATATCAAAATTTCTATTTGTTGATTCCTGCCTTTTTCTTCATTTAGTTTGTTTATAACGTTAATTCCGCTATTAACTGCATCTATTACCAAATTTAGTTCATTCATTTGAATGCTATGGCTGGCTAAATTTTCTATTTTTTGTTCCAAATCGACTTTATCTTCCTGATCTAGTGTTCCAAAGAGATATTTGTAGGCTGTTCCTACTATATTGATTAGGCCTCTTTTATTTCTTTTGGTTATTTTTAGCCAGTTCATTTCTCTTTGCAATTTGTCTACTAGATTTTTTATTTGGATTATGTCCTGGAATTTAGTGGCTTGCATTAACAAATTTTGGTATAGTTCTTCGGTTTTAGTTACATTAACAGTTAGATAATGGTATTCGTAATTGATAGGTAAGTTAATCGATCCAGTTTTGAATATCATATATCCGTTTTGGGATTTTAAAGGATTTATTTCTATGTTTTGGCCCTGTGCCATTACGATGGTAATTATGAAGAAGATGATGTTGCGTGACCTTCCATCCATGGCCACAATTATTAGTTATTGATCTGAATTATGAAGTCTAGTGTAAGTTAGGCTAGGGCAAAGCGGGAGCGCAATAAAAGCTCGCTCTCTCGCTCTTGGCGAATTCGCCCCGCTTTGCCACCGTAGGATAGCTAGAGTAAGAGATTTGAATTGTGAAGAAAATATAGTTGTTCGCCAACCTTGAAATATATCGAGCGTATCAATTTTTTCGCCCCGCCAAATAAATAATTTAAATTACAGCCACCCAAAGTTTTCGGTAACTGATTAGAAAAACTCTGTTGCATGCGAAGATATCGATAGGCGAGACCCTGGAAGCGCTGAGAGGAAGGTATTTTTTTGAACAGAGTGGCAGGGCCAAAATGTAAGGGGAAAGGTTAGCGAAGAGTGGCCACCTGGTCCTGGAGAGTAAGAGTTCCGCGCGCTCTCCGGAGCCGTTGTGAGAGGATTTCCGATCTCATCCCATAACGGAGTCCCGAAGCCAACTCACCCACACCCAAAAGAAAAGAGAGCCGCCAGCAGCCCGAATCAGGCCATGCCCTTGAACCTAGTTCAAGGGCGATAGAAGAGAGAGCGATGGGGATCGGCAGCCGGGAGCATTAAACAGAACAGCCAAGAGGGGGTTCAGAAAAAAAAAATTCCCGCAACGGAGGAGCATGCGCGCCGGACACAGTGACTTAGCGATTTTTTTTTGTTCTGAAAGAAAAAGTGAGTGGGATGAGGATGGAGTAGTGGCCATCACCCTGCAAAAAAATGAATAAAAGATAAATAAATGTGATTCCAGGGGATCCAGATCAGGGAAAGACCAGGAACCAGGACCAGGAAGCATAAGAGTGAGTCCGCTCCAAAGGGGGAGTAAAGAAACCCCAAATTTATTTTTTTTGTTGGCCGTAGGGAATAGGTCACAGCTCCGCCACCCTGGCTTGTTTTTCCTGCTGGTCTCGAAGGAACAGACCTGGCCACGTAGTGCGGGACCCTCGCCCACTTAGGGAGAAGAAAAAATCACATCAACTTATTTACTCCCATTAATTATTTTTGTTAGACGTCTCCAGTTATAAGTATATGTAATTTAAGTCCGTCCATATTTATTATATATATGTAACCTATTTATTTATATTTATTATATTATTTATTCCTATTAATCTAATTATTTATTAACCGCCAGTAGTACTAAGATGAGGGGGGGATGAATAGGCAGGCCTAGTTTAGAAATGATATCGTGTGAAAATAGGAAACTGAAGTAAAAATTATAACGAAGAAATGAATTGTTAAGCGTTTCGTATGGGGGGAAGAGGAGCCACAGCAACGAGAGGGTAAGGCTTTTGCCAATGGCAGGGAGATCCGGAACGTGTGATTCAGATCTCAGGTAGGGTGGGTGCGTCGGGGGTAAAACATCGACACCTCGACCTGGTCCAAGGTGAGATGTCGAGATGTCCAATCAGTTGGTTGTTGTGCGACCTGAGGGCTTGGGAAGTATCCAGCCCTGGGATGACTGGCTAGCCGGCCTTGCCCCAAAGAAAAACAAAGGTTCGTAACAATAATGGCGCCCAATCTGAGACAGGGAAGTGGACTCGCAGTCCTGGCTCGACCATCAAAGAGGGAGAGTACGGATGCGAATCATACGGACGTCGAAGAAATTATAAATATCCAGCAGAGAAGATAGATCTCGAGTGGTATTCTGCAATCTGGGGTCCATCGGTGTTCCGGTGGCCTGTGAGGGACTCGACGAGTTGGCTCACAGAAGCACGGCGCTGAGGGACCTGAGGATGCAAGAAAAAAATCCACAAAGTAAATAGTTTTTTTTGATGTTTGATGTTTCGGCACTTATCTGACAACGGGAAGCAGGCAATCTCAAGAGGGGATTTGGTTTGGCACTGGCAGAGGAGAATCCAAAAGCCAGTTAGCAACCGGCCCGGTGCCTGGTGTGCAAAAGGAGAACCTGAAGAAAAAGAAATACCCGAAGTTAGGAATGGTCAGAAAGATTTATGTTTTTCGCTTCCCCTGCTTACCGCTGGATGGAGTCGGGAGAGTAGATTCTCAAGGAGATTTTTTGTTCTGAGTGGCCCGTGGGGACAGATGTCGGCCACGCGTTGCACTCGGAGCAGCTACAACATCCCGCAACGAACATTCAGTAGGGAATTAGGCGGAAACAGCGACTGTAGGGAAGTGAGCGCCCTTGACTCTTAATCTTTCAAGGAAGATAAGATCAGTCAACAGCGCTCGCCAAATTCTAGACGTTGGACAGGAAAAGACGTAGAACACCATGTGCAGAGTTGGCCCTAGTAGTAGTTGCGGTTCCTTTCCCCCTTATTAGTGTTTTTGCCGTATTAAACGTTTTTGTGCTGAAGATCAGTGAGTTGGCGTTATAGGTAGTGTTTATGCGATTGTTCTGAAAGAAGAGTATATAATTAATTCTATTGAATAAAAAGATAAGTAGGATAGTTCGAGGTAGGGAAATACAGGGCTAGGTTGATGAGCGCGTACAACTTGCGGTCTAAGCAGAAAATGACTCGCAGGACTCCTCCACCAGGTAACCTCCAAGGACAGATGCAAGGCGGGGACACACAGGGCGCTGAGGGGCGTGAAGACGACAGCTGGAATTTGCCAGGCCAATCGAACGCACTGCCCTCCGAGATTCTCTCAGGAGTAAATGTCGCCATAGCGCAAGCACAGGAGACGTGGAGAGGCAGCATGGCAGATACCCTGAGTAGGACGTTGCAGGAGGAGATCCGTCGCGGCTTTATGGAGCTGATGGGGCCATAACAGAGGTGATGGCGCCTCTGCGCCAGAACGTGGAATTGATCCAAGATCTCAGACTGGAAAGAGACCAGGGTGAAAACAACGATAATAATAATGGCGATCAGCAGCCTCTAGCTCACCTCAGGCAGAAGCCGATCACAGGGACCATGCCCAAAAGACCCAAGGACGATGACGCATGGAATTCACAGTCGCCTCCAAGGAAGCCGGCGAGGTTGAGCCAGAACTGGCGCCGAGGAATAGCCGATGCGGACCTGGATCCAGGTGCTGGAAGGCAGAGACGGGAGACATCAGGAGACGGCGGAGGTCCAACAGATCTGCCACCATATGAAAGGAGAGATGATTGGAGAGGAGCGAGATGGGGGCGCGTCGACAAATGGGAAATCCACTTCGACGGAGATGGAGATCCAAATAAGATGACGGTGCAGGACTTCGTGTTCAGGGTCGAGTTCCTCCGTAGGCAGAACCGACGGTCGTGGGACGAGGTCCTTGACAACTTTCACCATCTCGTCAAAGGACAAGCGGCGGAGTGGTATTGGCAATTTGTCCGAGAACGGCCTCCGGAAGGATGGGAGGATTTGAAGGACGAGTTGGTGTCCCGGTTCCGAGCAGTGGGTGGCGAGTTCGAGCGGCTACGCGCCTTGCATGAGCGAAGACAACAATCTGGCGAATCTGTGGAAGAGTATTTTAGAGCGATGCGCAGACTGGCAGCTAGACTCACCACACCTTTGGTTGAGTCCGAAATGGTGCGAGTCTTGAAGAAGGGGCTCGATGATGAGATCGCCCGCTACGTTTACGGGATCCGAGTCCGGAACGTGGAGCAGCTGAGGGAAGAGTGCCTGGAAGTGGAGTACCACTTTCGCGGACGCGAGCAGAAGTCGACGTTCCGTCCTGTGCCGAAATTCCAATCAGCCGGGAAGCGAGTGGAGGAGCTAGAGCCGGAAACGGAGTTTCTGGATGAAGACGAAGCATGGATGGTGGAAGAAACTCACCTGGCGAACAAACCCAGGCTGTGTTGCTGGAATTGCGGCCAGTTCGACCACGGATTCCGAGACTGCGTGGCGAAGGAACGCAAAATATTCTGTTACCGCTGCGGGAAACCAGAAATGTTTACTCCAACGTGTCCCAATTGCTCGGGAAACGCACGAGCGGGCATGATGAAAGCGGGAGATCAGCGCTCGGGACAGAAGCCCGCGAAGAAATGAACGATGGTCCACTAAGTAATATAGAATTTAAGAATATTAGCCCGAATAAATTAAATAAAAATAGTTTGAAGTTTATACCGGCCGAAGAGAGGATGAGGAGATACATACAAATTCGAAACCAGATCTTTGATGACAGGCAGCTGGAGGGGATGCGCGGTGTCAGTCGTAGACTCCAAAAGGCCCGTTCCAGATTTAAGGAAAGGCGACAGACTCGCAAAGAGGTGGCCGAGGCAGTCAGACGAGGAGCAGGACGCGATCCCAGAGTGTTTGCCGAAGTGCAGATAAGAGGACATCGGATTGCTGGACTCCTAGATACTGGGGCATCCGTTAGTGTCTTAGGAAAGGGCAGCCGTGAACTCCTTGCCGACCTTGAGGTGGAAATGGACAATTATGTCTCGATCATCAAGACAGCCTCTGGAGAAGACAGGTCCATAATCGGCAAAACCAAACTCTGCGTAAGATATAACGGAATGAACAAAGAGATCTTGTTTTACGTATGCCCGTACCTAGAGCAAGCCATGTACTTGGGCATTGATTTCTGGAGATCCTTCGCGCTGGCTCCCACAGTCCTCGGAGAAGAGTCCAGTAGATCCAGCGAGGTCCAAGTAGGCGAGATCCAAATGTCACAAATCAGCCAGTACGCCGAACATCGCCCGGAGGACGTGGAAGTGGAAGCTTGGGCCCTGGAAGACACGGAAACCGAAGAGCTGGAGAAGGTAAAGAAGGAGTTTCTGACCTATGAGAACCATTTAAAGATCGGCATTACCCTCAATCCCCAGCGATGCAGGAGGTGATCTAGACCGAGGTGGATAAAATGCTGGAGCTAGGAGTGATCGAGGTTAGCGATAGTCCATGGAGCAATCGGACGACGGTGGTGCGAAAGCCAAACAAAAATAGATTCTGTTTGGACGCGCGGAAACTGAACCAGCTCACCGTAAAAGATGCTTACCCTCTTCCTAGTATCGAGGGTATACTATCCAGGATTGACCAGACATACTACATTTCTGGCGTCGACCTCAAATTCGCATTCTGGCAGATTAAACTGGACCCAGAAAGCCGGAAGTGCACCGCATTTACCGTCGCAGGCCGTCCGCTGTATCAATTCGTGATGATGCCCTTCGGTCTGTGTAACGCTGCCCAGAGGTTATGCAGAGTGATGGATAAGGTAATTCCAACTCAGCTCCGATCAAACGTTTTCGTTTATTTGGACGATCTTTTGGTGATAGCCCCGGATTTCCAGACGCATCTGCGGTATCTGCGATTGGTGGCCCATTGCCTGAAAAGAGCGAATTTGACGATAGGCTTAAAAAAATCCAAATTCTGTTTTAAGTCGCTAAAATACCTAGGGTTTATCATCGGAGGTGGCACGCTGCAAATGGATCCCGATAGGGTTGTGGCTATACAAAAGATCCCGAACCCAAGTTCAGTGAAGGAGCTACGGAGCTTCATAGGAACCGCAGGATGGCATAGGCGCTTCATCAAGGACTTCGCAACCATCGCTGTACCGTTAACAGATGCTCTGAAGAAACATGCGCGCGGGAAGTTTTCCTTGCCAACGGAAGCGAGGGCGGCCATAGAATCCCTGAAAAAGGCCCTCACCACGGCACCTGTATTAGTCCATGCCGACTTCAAACGCCATTTTTACATCCAGTGCGACGCCTCAAATTTTGGAGTGGGAGCAGTGCTTTTCCAGCTGGATGACGACAAAGCAGAGCGTCCAGTGGCATTCTTTTCTTCCAAGCTGAACAAACACCAAATAAATTATTCTGTAACGGAGAAAGAATGTTTAGCTGCGGTATTGGCGATAGAGAGATTCAGGCCATATGTGGAATTGATGCCGTTCACGGTAATCACTGATCACGCCAGCCTTAAGTGGCTAATGTCACTCAAGGACCTGAATGGGCGTCTAGCGAGATGGTCATTGCGGCTGCAGAGGTTCGATTTTGAGATCGAACACCGCAAGGGAGTCGAAAATATAGTGGCGGA